ACATTTTACATCGGGTGATAAAAGACCCGATGTAGTTTTTCTCACTTTTTACAACGGTTCAAGAACCGGTGTAAAATATCTTACTCATTTTACATCATTTGCAACTACATCGGTTTCAAAACCGATGTAGAATAGTCAAAAGAACTGATGTAAAATGTTGTTACTGTAGTAGTGAGTGACTTATGATCACTATGAATGACAAACTCCCTGGGAATAAGGTAGTGTTCCCAAGTTTGATGGGCCCTAACCAAAGCATAAAGCTCTTTGTCATAGGTAGCGTAGTTAAAGGAGGCACCTTTAAGTTTTTCACTGAAATAAGCAATTGGGTGCCCAACCTGTAATAAAACCGCTCCTATGCCAACCCTAGAGGCATCACATTCTAACTCAAAAGTTCTAGAAAAATTTGGAAAAGCTAGAAGTGGTGCATGAGTGAGCTTATCCTTTAAAGCTAGGAAAGCTCTCTCTTGTTTCTCTCCCCATTGGAACTCAACATTTTTCTTAACCAACTCATTTAATGGGGAGTCAAGCTTGGAGAAATTAGGAACAAATCTCCTATAGAAGCTAGCCAACCCATGGAAGCTCCTAATATCTCCAACACTTTTAGCAGTAGGCCATTCTTGGATGGCCTTGATTTTCTCAAGGTTTATATGAGCCCTTTTTTTACTAATAATAAAACCTAGAAACACTACACTATCTACACAAAAAGCACATTTTTCTAAGTTTCCAAAAAGATGATTTTTCCTAAGAATGTTAAAGACTTGCCTTAAGTGTCCTATGTGATCACTTAGGCACCTACTATATATAAGAATATCATCAAAATAAACTACAAAAAATTTACCTATACAATCCCTTAGATCATGATTCATGAGACGCATAAAAGTAATAGGACCATTGGTGAGACCAAAGGGCATCACCAACCATTCATATAATCCAAAGTTGGTCTTGAAAGTGGTTTTCAATTCATCACCTTCTTTTATTCTAATTTGATTATAACCACTTTTAAGATCAACTTTAGAAAATATGATGGCTCCATGAAGCTCATCTAACTTGTCATCAAGTCTAGGGATAGGATGTCTATATTTAACAGTGATGTTGTTGATGACCCTACTATCACAACACATTCTCCATTTGTCATCCTTTTTAGGGACCAACAACACTGGAACAGCACAAGGACTTAAGCTCTTTTGAACCCGGGGTTTTGTCCTATAGGCTAGCCTATTGGGTAGGCTAGCCCCAAGCACAATATCAATTTGATGTTCTATCCCTCTTAAAGGAGGAAGCCCCATTGGACCCTCAGGAGGAAATAGATCATCAAATTCCTTTAAAAGAATTTTGACCACCTTAGGTAGAGTCTCATTTCCACTAGATGTGGCAGTGCAAGTAAGAGTCCCTATACGCAGAAAGATAAAAGAGGGTTGTTTAACCAAGAGGATTTGTTTTAAAATTTCCTTCTCTTGATTAACAACTTCTAGGGAGGGGACTCCTTCCTCCCTAGAATTCTCTTTGTCCTTATTTTTCATGGACTTTTTTCTCTCTTTTCTTCTTTTTTTGTATTTTCTTCTCACTTTCTCTTTTGAGTTTCAATTATGTTTGATCCTCTACCACCTGTTGAGGAGAAAGATGATGAAGCACAAATTTATTTTCTTTATGTGTAAAGGATATCTCATTAGTAAGGCCATTATGCATGGTTTTCTTATCAAATTGCCATGGCCTTCCTAATAAGATATGACAAGCTTCCATTGGTACTACATCACATTACACCTCATCCTCATATTTCTCGATGGAAAGCTTGACCTTTACTTGTTGGTCAACTACTAAGTCACCATCCTCATCCTCATATTTCCCAATGAAAAGCTTAAATTTACTTGTTCTAAGACCACCCACCAATATATGGCATGCCCTCGAAAGCTAATGGTAGCTAGAGGGACTTTCTTTTCTTCACTTACCTTGTGGCAAGCAAAGAGTTGCTCAACCTTCATCTTCCAATCTAAATATATTTCCACATCATCCTTTCCAAAAAAAATTGTGAGAGGTCACCCTTGACTTCCCTTGGCCTAGAGACACTTCTAGGTGTAGGTTGATAGTAGTCACCTATTTCAAGCTCTCATTGGGAGAAGAGTATTGGGAATGTGAGCTCTTACTTCTCCTCTTTTGTTTTCTCATATCTTCTTTCAATTTTTCTTTTTCTTGTTTAACAAGTCTCAATTCCTCCTCTAGGATAGCAAGTTGGGCCTCCCTTTCAATTTTATCCTTATCTTTTTTAATGGCCTTTTGCTTCCTCCATAGTTTAGGTGACTTAAGCTCTTTAGTTAAGTATAAAATTGATGAGGTTCCACTTAGTGAATCCTCAAGAACACCTTCAAATCCTTCTTGGTTCCTTGGAAGTAAGACAAGGACGGATGCTCCAAGAAGAATCAATGTGACCTTGGCTTGAACAAGCTAAGTCCGGAAGAAGATTAGCAACCTAGCTCTTCAAATAGAGGAGCTCAAGTAGGGTAGAGATAGGAGGCTCTCGGATTTGGCTATCAAAACAAAGAACAAACACACCAAACACTAGTGGCTGGAATTTTGTGGTTGCTGGACTTGTGACATCCGTGGAGATTCTTGGAGTGTTAATTTGAATTATACTTGAATTTTATAAAAAAAAATATATAAGTATTAGTGACGGATTTTAGAGACCAATTTTTCATTACTAGTTTGAAATTTTTGTTGCAAATTCGGTCTCTAATTCATCACTAATTCTTGATAGTTGTTTTGTTAACTCTTTAAAGCCACTTGTTCTTTGTTGTTTTAGCTTGATTCATACCTTGTATTTGGCCATTTAAAGGAGTGTCTTGGGAGTGTCTTTGGTACACAACCATCTCTCCTTAGGTTTACAATTTTCGTTAGTACTTGGTGAAAGTGGTCCTTGATTGATCTTTGGTATCTCTCAAGCTCTCATGCTAGGACACGTTTAGGTAGTTTAATTTCTTGCTTAATACTTGTTTTTAATTGATTTCATACGTCTAGTATATCATAGTTCATCCAACATCAAAAATAATTTTCATTGAAAAGAATTTGGTAGAGATTAACTACAAAGGGGATTAGTAATTTTTACTTGAAGAGGCTTGGTTTTTAAGTGGCTCAAGCCCCATTAGATTAGGGTTAGTATAGGATTGGGCCTTAGTGCCTTGTATTTCTTTGGGCCTTGTATTTTCGGCCACTTAGATTAGGAATTTCATTTGAAGGTCATTTGAATTTAGGGTTAATTAAGGTTGCATGTGAATTGTCATTAGAATGTGATTAGCTTTGCATTTGATAGGCATTTCGGCCATGTGCACACATGCACATGGTGTGACCGAAATGCAACTCAAATGAAAGGAAAATCACATTCCAAATGAGGTGCACATGGGAGGTTCCGGGTTTGGCTCCCAAAATTTGAATTTTGAATTCAAATTTTGGGCGCCTAAGGTTAAGTAAACCATACCATGGTTTACTTAACCCTAAGCTAACCCTTGGTTCACTTTAACCTAATTTTCCCTATATATTCTATATGGCCGAGAATTGTAGACACTTTTGGATTAATTGAATGAGTTTTCACCATTTGAAACATCTCCCTCCGAAAGTCTCTCAACCTACCTCTACCCTCCTTGAGCTCCTCTCTTTGTAGAGCTAGGTTGCTAATCTTCTTCCGGACTTAGCTTGTTCAAGTCTAGGTCACATTGATTCTTCTTGGAGCTTCCTTCCTTGCCATACTTCCAAGGAACCAAGAAGGATTTGAAGGTGTTCTTGAGGATTCACCAAGTGGAACCTCATCAAGTGGTATCAAGAGCATTCGGTTCTTCAAGAGATAAGTTCATCATCTTGTCTTTTGAAGTTTGGATCCGTGATTCATTCTTGTCTTGTGATTATTTTGTGTTCATCTTGTTCTTGAGTTTTTGTCACTTAGAGTTTACTCTTTCCTAGATAGTTTTTGTCACTTAGAGTTTACTCTTTCCTAGATCTAATTTTTGTCTTAAAATTTGATGGATCTAGTATCATGTTGCTTGAATGATTCATTTATGCGTTTATGACTACTTGCTTCCATGAATCATGCTCCAACTCTTTTGCCTATTAGGAATTTCTGCCTATGATCTTTTTGCTTTATTTGAGTCATAATTGAAATTTTATTCGGTCATTGCATGTTTGAGTCTATTTTATTTTGAATCCATGTCTAGTAGTAATGTGTAGTTCTTGTCTTGTTCATCATTCCTAGCTATGCTTGTGTGAACCTTTTGATTTTGTTTTAATTGAATCTTGAAAATATTTTCTGGATTTGGCCGAGATCCATAGCCTTTGGAGTGTGCTCATAATTTTTGTTTCAAGTTGAGTTCATAAACTACTAGTAGTTCATTAGTAGTTTTCTTAGAAAATTTTAGGTTTCCTATACTAGAAAATGTCTTGAAATTTGTTTTTTCTCCTTATCCATGAGTTTAGTCTTGTGTAACTTGTTTTGTGCTGAAAATTGTGTTTGAGTTTCATTTTGAAATTTGAATTTGGAGCCAAAAACCGTGCATGTGTTAAGCAACCAAACAAGCATCAAAAGCATGTTGCATGTTCATTACATCTTAACCTAATTTGGTTGTCATTTGGATTTCAAATTTGAATCCGGTTTTGGTGCTTCAATTAAGTGTGACCGAGAATAGTGTGTTGCATATTGTTTAAAAGAAAAAGGCAACTCCTAAGATTAAAATATATATATATATATATAGAAGAAAAATCAAAAGAAAATGCAAAAACAAAGTGATTAAAAAAAAGTGCTAAACCTAATTCTCCAAAAGAAAAAGCCATATAAGGAGTTTTGTTCACAAGTTTTTCTTCTCGGTTTGTCATTGCTCATTGTATACATAATATTTTCAGCTTACATTTTCTTGAGTGTTTTGGTTTTGTGAATCAATTCTAGAACCTTTCTTAGGATTTTTCTTTCTTGACCTAGCCAACTCTTGTCTTTTGTCATCTATATTGTCTTCTCCTACTCTAATCTTGTTTCCTTTAACTCTCAAATATCTTTGTTGTTTGTATTCATTATGGAACTCAAATGTGACCTATGTTTGACCTAGCCTATCTCCTTAGAAGCTAGTTCTACAAGGGTCATCAAAAGAGGACTAAGAAAAGGAGGAGGAAAGGACAAAGGAGGCTCTCGGATTTGGCTATCAAAACAAAGAACAAACACACCAAACACTAGTGGCTGGAATTTTGTGGTTGCTGGACTTGTGACATCCGTGGAGATTCTTGGAGTGTTAATTTGAATTATACTTGAATTTTATAAAAAAAAATATATAAGTATTAGTGACGGATTTTAGAGACCAATTTTTCATTACTAGTTTGAAATTTTTGTTGCAAATTCGGTCTCTAATTCATCACTAATTCTTGATAGTTGTTTTGTTAACTCTTTAAAGCCACTTGTTCTTTGTTGTTTTAGCTTGATTCATACCTTGTATTTGGCCATTTAAAGGAGTGTCTTGG